AACCCTAGATCACCTTTTTGGATTCTTATTACCCAAGTTACTAAGAATATTACCAGTGGCATACAGGGAGCTTAACCAATGAGCGGTCAGAAAAGGTGTTTCCTCTGTAGTTCACACCAATCACTGGCTTGGCCTCCCCCTCCTCCCCCCAGGCCAGACGCTTTTGGCCCAGGCTTCAGGCCTTGGCAGGGGATCCCCATCTCCCCCCGATCACCAGCTCCGCCCTCACCCAGGCCTGAAGACTTGGCCAGAGGCATCGACCCCCATCACCCTCTAATCGCCAGATCTGCCCCTTGCCCAGGTCTGACGCCTCTGCCAGAGGTGTCAGGCCTGGGCAGGGGACCCCCATCTCCCTCCCATCAGCGGCTCTGCCCTCGCCCAGGCCTGACGCCTTGGCCAGAGGGTCGACCCCCATCACCCTTCAATCACCAGATCGGCCCCTCGCCCAGGCCTGACGCCTCAGCCAGAGGCATCAGGCCTGAGCAGGGGACCCCCATCACTCTCCAATCGCAGGATCAGCCCCTTGCCCAGGCCTGACACCTCCGCCAGAGGCGTCAGGCCTGGGCAGGGGACCCCCATATTCCCCCGATCACCGGCTCTGCCTCCCACCCAGGCCTGACGCCTCAGCCAGAGGCGTCGACCCCTATCTCCCCCTGATCACCGGCTCCGCCCCCCGCCCAGACCTGATGCCTCTCGCTGAGGCATCAGGCCTGGGCAGGGGACCCCCATCTTCCCCTGATCACTGGCTCTACCCCCCGCCCAGGCCTGATGCCTCTGGCCCAGGCATCAGGCCAGGGCAGGGGACCCCCATCTCCCTCTTATCGCCGGCTCGACCCCCGCCCACCCCCCACCCAGGCCTGACGCCTCTGGCTCAGGCATCAGGCCTGAGCAGGGGACCCCCAGACCCCTCCAATTGCCAGCTCCGCCCCCCGCCCAGGCCTGACGCCTCGGCCCGAAGCATCGACCCCCATCACCCTCCGATCGCCAGATCGGCCCCTTGACCAGGCCTGACACCTCCACCAGAGGTGTCAGGCCTGGGCAGGGGACCCCCATCTCCCCCCGATCACCAGCTTCTGGGGCTTCTGGGGCCGGCCTGCGGCCCGGGATGGCGACTTGCACTGGTGGCTGCGCTGTCCCGCCCTGCCTGCGGTATGCAAATTAGCCGCCATCTTTGTTGGCGGTTAATTTGCATATCATGCTGATTAGCCAATGGGAGGTGTAGCAAAGGTACGGTCAATTACCATGTTTGTCTATTATTAGATAGGATGTTCTTTGGCTAATCTCTCCATCTTCTTTCATCCAGTCCCCGCTTTGCCATCCTCTTTGACAGCTGTCATTCTGTTCCATGAATCCATGCCTCCAATTCTATTTTGTTCGTCAGTCTATTTTGTTCATTAGATTCTACATATAAGTGAGATCATATGGTATTTGTCTTTCTCTGACTAGCTTATTTCACTTAGCATAATAAATCTCCAGATCCACCAATGCTGTCCCAAAAGATAAGAATTCCTTCTTTCTTATGGCCAAGTAGTATTCCATTGTGTAAATGTACTACAGCTTTTTTATCCACTCACCTACTGACAGGCACTTGGGCTGCTTCCAAATCTTGGGTAGTGTAAATAACACTGCAATGAACATAGGGGAGTATAAACTCCTTTGAATCAGTGTTCGGAGTTTCTTCGGATTTACTCTTAGAAGTGGGATTGCTGGGTTGAATGAGAGTTCCACTTTCAATTTTTTGAGGAAACTCTTTACTGTTGTCCACAGTGGCTGCACTAGTCTGCATTCCCACCAGCAGTACACAAGGGTTCCCCTTTCTCCACAGCCTTGTTTTTTGTTGATTTATTGGTAGTAGCCATCCTCTTTTCTTGCAAAGATAGTAAGGAGAATTCAAAGAAATCTCAGGAAAATAAGCAATTGACTTTCTCAATATTCTCCCTGGCAAAACTGACTCATGTTGCTTAGAAAAAGTCTAAATCCTGCTTTCCGACCATATGGGATAGTGTTTACTAGTATGTTACAGATTCCTAGTATGTTAAAATTCCAGCTCCTCACTGACTAGATGAATTACTTTTAACAAATTATTTAACCTCCCTGTGCCTCAGTTTCCTCATTTGGAAATTGGATAATAATATGTACTTCACAAGTGAGGCTTAAATAATTAGCTAGCTGTATGTGAAGTGCTTACAACATCTATCTGGTAAGTATTCAGTAAACACAAACTCTTCTGATTTTGTTCAAGGTCAAAGAAGAGAGAGGTTTCATAATGGAAAATATGAGAGAGGATCACCAATCTGGAAAAAAAAGGGGGGATGTGTACATCATTTAAGCTTAATAAATAAGACTTTTTAAGGACCCCATGTCAATAGGCCAGTTTGGGTTTGGGTTTGGGTTCGGTCCGTGTGGGTGATATGACCTCTGTGGTTGCCTAATGGGGTTGTTTCTGGGCAAGGAAAAAAGTCTACCTGGTTTAACAGGTCATGTGCATATTTCAAATGCCAGACCTCACCCCTTCTCCTTTGCAAGGAAATAGACATGATTTATTTCTTTAAGAATACTTCAAAGAAACCAGAACCATTCTTACAGAAAAAGGAAGAGCTCAATTATACCAATCTTGCTTCCTTTCTAGCAGACATTTCACAAAATTCAGCAATTCATCTCTATGTCCCAACCCTTCCAGCCACTCTGTGTTGCCCTCTGTCCTCAGAGTACAGCTTCTCCTTTGGAAATCATGACCTGTGTCCCTGTGTTGTCCATTCAGGGGTACCTTCCTGTAAATGTTGAACTTGACATGGTGGTGAGTCCTCAGCAGCTTCTGTTTCCTTGTCTTTGAATTTCCCTTATACTGAAAGCACCTGTCAGTAAAGCAAGATGTCAAAGATAAACTCTACACCTACTGGGAGCAGTTGGTGGCGATGACACCATTTATGGGCCCACTTGGGAGGATCAAAGACCCTAGGTTTTGCTTTTCAGGTTCTGCCTGTTTATATGATGATTGCTCTAGGTATCAGCACATTCACCTTTTTGGGGACTTCTATGTGCAACCTAAGCTCTTTTATAGTGAAAACATTTGCTTATTATAAAAGAAGGTAGGTTTCCTTATATATATAAAATATATAATAAGTATAATTGGTGTAATTAATCCAGCTAAGAGTTCATGGAAGTGGACAATTTGCTATTATCACACCTTTAACCCAGTGCATGGCAGCCTTTAACTTATGGCCCTAATTTCATTTCTAAAGTTACCTCCTCCCACTTATATGAATTATTTCTTCTTTCACCCTATTATGGGTTTCTCAGCCTTGTCAGTGTTGACATATTGGGCCCAATAATTCTTTGTTGTGGGGACCATCCTATGTATTGTAGGATGTTTTGAAGGATCCCTGGCCTCTAACACACTGGATGCCAGGAGCAAAGCCCTCCCTCAGTTGTAACCACCAAAAATGTCTCCAAACATCGCTCAATATCCCTGGGGAGGAGGGGAGAAAATTGCCCCTAAGAGACACTAACATTAGATGTTTGATTCTCATTTTGAATATTAGTAGTGATTTTTAAGTTTTATTTTTCCCCTGATTTTTATACTTGCTTTTCTCTGCCAGTGGATAAAAGCGCATTCTACAAATATCATAAATCTTTAATTTGGCATTGTTGAGTCCTCAACACTCTAACCAAGTAGCCCCGTGATAGTCCAGGTCATTGAAAGTGAAACTCAGCTCCAGCATCATCCATGCACCTGTTCGATAGTTGAGGTTAATGTGCTGGCTTACGTGATCCGACTCTAGCAGTCTTCCTGTTTATGCTCCCTCCATCAGGTGAGGCCCACGGGAACCTCAAGACAGAGGCAAGCAGTTGCCTAACTGGAGAATCCACAGCTATGCACAGCAGCTGCAATGCAGGCCCCAGGAAGCAGTGGGAAACAAACAATACTGCCTCTGTGTAACCTGACTGCCAAGGAAATACAAACAAGCTATATATTCAAAGCACAGACATCTGTGTCACTGGGGCCAGCCCTACATCAGGTTCTGAAGTATGGCAGTCACATGGTCCATCGTGTCAGCATCCTCCTCCATCACAAGTCCAACCTGTCTCCTACCCCAGAGGAACTTGTGGGGCATCACCCACCTGGGCTTCTCCTTCTAGTGCCTAAAGCATCCTCTCATTCAGCTTACCTTTCTTGGATCCCATTTGCAGCTGACCTCACAAACTAATCTCCAGTCAGCTAGATCGACGTTTCCAAACTGGTGGACCATGGGCCAGGCCTACCCCCTGAAGCATACGTTTTGTTAGCCAGCAAGGTGTTTTGCAATTCTGATGTGACTGCCAATATTTTAAACCCTGAGTTTGTCTGAAAATTCCAGACTTCCAGCTTCTCTTGGAGAACTCGCATGTGACACAACTTGTACTGAAACAGGCATTTAGCTGTCCATCACTCGGCTGTGCTCAGTCATAACAACCTGTTTAGACAGATCAGATCAGGTGCCCCATAGGCATCTGAGTGTGTGATCCTCTCATTTGAATCTCAGAGGCTCACATGCCCAAACTGTAATTATTTTGGGAAAACAAAATCAGCGAGGCTAATGTAGGAGGTAAAAATTAAAACAATAACTAATATTTTAAGGGTTTAATGCACTTTTCACAGACACTGCTTTTTCTAATAGACAATCATCAAGTGTCACTTATCAAGCCCTACTTTTAAGTACTATAATCAAATGCCTGTCACAGTTTGAAGCATTTTACACAAAATGTTTCATCTAATTCTTACAATAACCAACTGAAGTAGGTACCATTATTATCCTCTTATTGGAGATAAGAAAACTGAGGCACACAGAAGTTAAGAAACTTGTTCTGATGTCAGAATCCAGATGGGAAAGAAACCGGGGGGTCTGACTCTAGATTCCAAGCCAAGTTTGCCACACTTGCCTGGGGTCTTCACTGCCCCTCAGATTAAGACAACTCTCATAATAACTCTGGGAAGCAATCATCATTATTACTGTGCTCACCTTTACAGATGAGGTGTCTAACTGCTGTAGAGGAGAAACTGTCACCAGTCTTCACCAGCTTCCCGGAGTCAACTCCAAGCATCAGGGCTGTGGTGTCAGTCCTAGACACACCCAGGTGGCAGTGCCTTTTTCCTCGGACCCTATTCGAAGAAAGCGTCAGTGGAGGTCTGCTCTGCCCTGCTACAGCCCCCAAACCCTGTTATGCATCTGCTCAGGCAGCCAGGAGAGTATTCCAGATTCCCCAAACCAGAAAGCCACAGCACCTGCATGGCAGAACTTGCATGAACTCTGCTGAACTTGCAGTGCCTTGCAAGGAGGTTCCTATTCTGCTGAGATGTAGAAGCAGCAGCAGAAGTGGGAGCCAGGGAATAGGGCTGGAAACTGGGACTACTGAAAGGCAATGGAAGTAAAAGTTACAAAGTAATCCACTGCCAAGCAAAAGTTACCAAGTAGTCCACCACCGGTCTGTGCACAGAAGGGGCAAAATCTAAAGGATTCAGTAGTGGGTTAGCATCTCTTCTCTAGTTCTACCAAATCTACTTATAGCCCAATCTTGGTTCTCACTGAATACAGCACATACAGATCTCAATGAGCTCGTCTCCTACAATGCATGGAATTGGTCTTGTTTAAAAAAACAAAACAAAACGGCAACAACAAAAAACAGTGGAGCAATGGAAAGGGACCTGGATTTCCCAACGAACAAATGCTCAACCAAAAGTTTGGACTCATTCATCATCGCTCATTTTCTTTCACTTCCTGTGTTCTGCCTATGCAGGTCCCATCAGCTCTTCTCCAAAACTTATCTCAAATCTATCCTCTCTCTCCATCTCAGCTGCTAAAACCCTTGGCCAAACCATGGTTGCCGCTCACCAGGATTCCTGCAGTAACTCTTGCTCTTTTGTGTTGTTCCCTTATCACCATCCAATCCGGCAGAACAAATTACTCTCTACAAAACATGAATCAGATCACATCATTCCAACACTCGAAGCCCTCTCATCATAGTTAGAATTAAGTCCAAACTTCTTGCCAGGCCCTAGAAAGCCCACTCTCTCCAGTTTCATCTTCATTTGCTCACATTTGCTAAATGCCAGATATCCTGACCTCCTTTGCTCCTCCTCAAACACATCGAATTCACTTCACTTGTAAACATTCTCCCCATCACTCTCTTTTCCTACATTTTCCTATTGCTACTTCCTCACTTCATTCAAGGTTTTTTCTAATGTCCCATCCCTAGAGATTGCTTCCTTGACTACGGTTTCTAAAACAGCCTTCATTCCTTTTCTTCTATCCCACCCCAGCTGTCTCTGTCTCTTCAGGCCGCATTGCTCTTTTTTTTTTTTTAACTTAACACTTTAACACTGTCTGAAATCATCTGGCATTTGCTTGCCTGTTTCATATCTGTCTCCCTCCACTGGAATATAATCTCCATGAGAACACAGACCTTTCTGTCTTTTTCAGGGCCGTGTCTTGAGAACCTAGAACCATGCCTGGTTCATAGTAGCTGCTCAGTACATACTTGTTGAATGAAAGAACAGAGTTATAAACTCACCATCATGTTTTTAGCTTCAGGGTGATTTTTAAAAAGGGTGATATGTCAAAGAGAAATTAGAAAGAGGGAAGTGCTCACCAGCTGGACAGGGCTTGGTACATACCAGCTCAGCGAGTGCTCAGTACACAGTGGCTGCCCAACAAATACTGGCGTGAGTTTAGAATAGTAAAGAAAGGTATATAAAGATAGAAAAAGACAAATTGTCCTGGCAACCTACATGAGAAATATTAAAAGAAAAATAATAAATGAAAGAACTTGTAATACTAAAGAATAAAAACTGGGACTGGGAGAGTAGGATTTTTTTTTCTTTAGTGTCATAGTGCGTGCTTTGAGCACATACAGAAAATACTATTCTGCTCCCCAGAATGAGACATCTATTGAAATGAAACACATTCTTAGGGTAGTTCCAGGAAGCTCCTTTGAGTTCAAGTCAATCCAAAATCACAGTTCGCTCTAGATCCGTGGTTCTCAACCTTCTGGCCCTTTAAATACGGTTCCTCATGTTGTGACCCAACCATAAAATTATTTTTGTTGCTATTTCATAACTGTAATGTTGCTACTGTTATGAATCGTAATGTAAATATCTGATATGCAGGATGGTCTTAGGCGACCCCTGTGAAAGGGTCGTTTGACCGCCAAAGGGGTCGCGACCCACAGGTTGAGAACCGCTGATCTAGATAGGGTAAAGATAGCCATGTTCTGGGGGTCCTTCCTTTGATTAGAAATCTGGGGAGTTTCTTGGGTGAAATCCAAACCTGACCCCTGTACACAGAGGGCTAAAAGAGACCCAAGAAAAAGGCAGATCATGCCAGCGTGGTAGGCGGCAGGTTTAATAAGCAAGGGAACTTACATGCAAGGCTTAGCAAGTAGATCTCCAAATTTATTTCCAGAATCTTAAAAGTTTATATGGAGGCCTTAACTGGGTTCAGTAAGGTATGCCGTCTGGATGGTCTCAACACCTTACTCTCTCAAGAGGCTGTGTCCTGGAAACTGCCCCACCGTGGGAATGGTGGGCAGAACGAACATTCCAAGAACAGGGCAAGGGGTGTGGAGGCTCTGAGGGCCCAGGTCCAGCACACAGGTCAAACAGTGGTCACATGCTCACGATGACTTCCTCCAACACCTCCCAATACGGGCTTCAACACAGTTCTGGAAGCAATGATTGAAAATGCTAATGGTTGCATTTATCCTAGGATGGTAAAGAGGCATCTGTTTTGCTCTGTATTTTCCCTACTTAACCTAAATACTAGGTAAGTTCCGCCTCAATTTCCTTCTGTGGTTTAGTCTGGGCTTGGCAAGATCAATGCCTACAGGGGCTGGGCAGGTAATATAAATGTGTGAGTCAAATAAGACACAGTGAGACTTAAAGAAAAGAGACTGCCTCACCTAAAGCCATTCAAATTCAAATGTTGTAAAAAGAAAGAAAAACCACACACGTTGTGCCAGCCTAACAAATTTGCAACGTCTGGTTAGACCATCAGGGCCCAGGGCAGCACAGTTGCCGCTCAGCCCTGTAAACAGCAGCCTTGCAGGTGTACAGTCACTGAGGTGGAAGGCGGGCTTGTTTGTTTTCTTTTGAATCCGGATGAGGAGGCAGCCATAATGAGGAAGTACTGAATTTGTTGCCATGAAATACTGAGGGCTCCTCCCAAATCACCCACCTGTTGAGCTGTTTACATTATAGAGTTTGGCATGAAACTTCAAGGTATCACTGATGCAATGAAATAGGCTACAACCCTAAAAACAGCCGTAGTAGGCTGGGCACATGGGGTGCCCAAAAGGCTGATGCAAAGCACTGGTGAGTATTCTGTTTCCTCCCACTCACAGTCATCCAATGCCGGTGATTTGTAACATGCTGTTCTGGGTAAATTGTGAGGAAAGTAGTTAGAAAACTTGTGCCAACAGGAAGTCCCTCCTAAAAACTGGTGCTAGCTGCTCTCTGTTGAGTTTCTGTCAAGCACTGCAGTTCTAAGTCCCACTAATCACAAAATCTGTTAGAAATACCTACAAATTGCCAACCCATGATTCCAGTCCCCCGTCTTCCAGCAAAATAATTATAAATTCACTAATGCAGCCTGAAAATCTGGAAGCTTCCATTGTGTGAAATTCAGAAGCTCATTTGATTCAGGATCTAAATTGTTCATTAAAAAAATGTAGCCCTTATGTCTGTTTACTGCTAAATGTTATTCAAATGGTTGACATCTGGTCTATTGTAAAATCCTATGTAACTTGAGTTCTGATTACATTATTGTATCTTCCTCAGTTCCCTTCAGATAAGATGCTCTAACAAATGACTTCCTTTTTAATTTTGGGAAACAAGGGATTCTTTGGACCTTTTTTTTTTTTAACTAGAGGACAAATATAGATCAGATTTGCCAACTTTCAGGGTACTCATTTATTTATTTATCCAATGACATTTTTGAACAGCAACTATGTACTGGCCACCAGGATAGATGCCAAAAATAAAAGAATAAGTGAAACATGATACACCCCCTCAGCAAAATCCAACAGGAAGAAGTAAAGTAGGTGGACACTTGTGATTGTCCACTAGCATGCAGAGAACTTAAGCCTTCCAAACAGAACTCTGGCTGAAGAGTAAGCTCGTTCCCCTTATCAGTATTTGGGCAGATGACAATTCTTGCTAATGAGTCATGAGAAGAGGTGTGTTGGGGGCTTCCCCTTGCTCTTCAGAATGAGCTTTTTGACACTTTCTTTTGCTTTCCTCTGATGTTATTGTTCATGGGTTATATGTTTGGAATCACAGCCTCCAATTAACCACCAGCCTGAGGATGGGGTGGCCCCGGGAGAGGTCCAGAGCTAAGCAAGTGACAGGGAAATGGAGCCAAAGTCTATGGATCAAAACACTGAAAATCTCTTATGTCTGGCCTTCTGGTTATGGGAATCCATGAATTTTCTTTTTCATTTAAGTCAATTTGAGTTGGGTTTCCTTGTACTTGCAAACAAAATTGCTTGCTATGCTTTTTCTAACAGCTCTTCCCGTGAGAAGATCCAGGGTTTGCACTATTGCTTTCTCAGTGATGACAGTGACAGGTAATGCCACAAACATTTTATGGCATTTGCATTAACTGTGCGTCTGCTACTCAGTTAAGACACTTGAGGTTATTGGATGCTTTCTCTTTTCTCTCTGTGCTTGTTTTTCCAGGATCCCTGTGTTTCTCCCCCAGCTAATCTAACCGGAACTACAATATGAGAAACATAGGTAGGCATAGGAAAGTTTATCAAAATATGATTGATAAATACCAATATGAAAAGGCATGAAAAGTGAACATACAATGAATATGAAAACTCACAATTAGTAAATTAAAAAGTGAAACGTGAACTTGAGTTTTATGCCAATTGGTGCCTTTAGAAATAAAGTTCTTGTAAAGACACTGGCCATCCTGAAAAACATCACTGACAAATTACCCTCTTTGAGAAATTCCTCTGAGAAATAAATATCAAAGTGACACAGACTCTGTTACTGATTAACCTAGGTCAGTGATGGCAAACCTTTTGAGCTCGGCGTGTCAGCATTTTGAAAAACCCTAACTTAACTATGGTGCCATGTCACATATAGAAATTTTTTGATAT